GCTGTTGCTGTTGCTGTTGCTGTTGCTGTTGCTGTTGCTGTTGCTGTTGCTGCTGCTGCTGCTGCTGCTGCTGTTGTTGTTGCAGATGGTTGTGGTTGTTGTGGTTGCGGTCGTGGTTGAGGGCCACACGATGCAGGCTACGCACGCCGGTGAGGTACGCATTTCTAGCATTTTGCGCCCGTGTTGGGCATATGTTTGGAGCTATGTTGGTGGTATGTTGCATCATTTATGTTGACATACTCTTCAAATGCGATTTTTGCGTCCCGGAACCCCCTCTCCGAGGCCGAAAGGACGTAAAAAAATAGTTTTGGGACATGCCCAAGATCGAATCCGGCCCTATCCAAGCCAAGCGCGCGAAACACTGTAAAACGTGATGTTTTTGAACCTCGCACGCAAAAATCGCTGTAAAACAGGGGTCGTAGGTTGAGGAGAGAACCCTGCAGGATGCCACGGCCAGGTGGCCCCGTGGCCGGATTTCAAGGCTTACGCCTGACAGCTGGGCGCCGGCCGACACAGGAGAGGGAGGAAGGAAATGGGGGGAGTAGGGGGACGGATATCAAAACACACACGCTTAGATAAAGGCTCGCAAGAGCAATATCAGTGATGATCTCCCTGTGATGCTCAGCACTTTACGTTGCTGAAAGTTAGACCTTGACCTGCAGAACGGCATGAAGTGCTGGGTTGAAGAATCAATTAAATTTGCAGGCACGCTGGGATGATCAGTCCCAGTATCACCGAGGCTTAGAGGGCGCCTTCGTTGGTGGTAGACGCTCTGCCTTGCTACCGCCCCCTGCTGGTGCATACATGTCGAGGAACTGAACTAAAGGTTCCTTGGTGTGCCTTCAGGCTTGTTTGGTCGGCTTTCAGGCTCGTTTCAGTCAATGCACACCCGGCCCTTTCCTTTTCTTTCCTTGCCTTTTTCGTTTGTCTTGTTCTTTCTTTCAGGCTACTTCCAGGCTCGTTTAGTCAACGCACGCCCGGACCCCGCACCCCTGCTCCCCCCCACCCCTGCACCGAAACACGTGTCAACACCTGTTTCTAAGGAGTTTGACAAACGAGAAAAGGCAAGGAAAGGAAAGAAAAGGTGCAGGGGGTGTGGTTGGCTCAGGCCCGAAGGCATTTGGTCAGAAAGCCGTAATCGGCGCACACTTGACTAAAAGTTTACCTGAGACCTGAAAAGCCTCTAGCAACGAACGAAAACCTGAAGAAGAGGAAAGAACCCCGGAAAGAAGGAAAGCAAGACCGTGCATGAATTACTCAGGGTGAAACTTACGAATGACTACTTAGCACATGACAAAAAAGTAACCTAAGACCCAAAACGCCTCTAGCAACGAAGGAAAACCTAGAAAACGAAGAGCAACAACGCGAAAGAAAGAACCAAACATTGATTACTTAGCAGTCCCGTCTGCATCCTATGACTACCTAGCTGCGTGGAATGTCGTTCTGTGGAAAGATAGCCAGCAAGCCCTGCGGCATATGATCAGCAATCTCGAGCAAAACGCAAAGTCGACGAAATTCCAGCGCAAGTCAGGGGATCGTGGAAAGTTCACCCGTGAGGGTATGTGCATATGCGGCGCCCCTCGCTGGGGATCACACCACAGCCCGCAGTGGGACTCTGTGGCGAGACACTCTTAGACAAAGGCTCGCAAGAGCAATATCAGTGATGATCTCCCTTTGATGCTAGAACTTTACGTTACTGAAAGTTAGACCTTGACTTGCAGAACGGCATGAAGTGCTGGGTCAGATCAACAGAATGCTTGAACATAGGTGAAACATGAAGAATCAATAAAAATTCGCAGGTACGCTGGGATGATCAGTCCCAGTATCACCAAGGCTTAGAGAGCGTCTTCGTTGGTGGTAGACTCTCCGTTGCTACCACCTCCTGCTGGTGCATGCATACATGTCGAGGAATCGCATTAAAGGTTCCTTGATGTGGTCAAATTCCTTAGAAACAGGTGTTGACACACATACACATATAGACACACATATATATATATAAATATCTAGAATTGATTATTGTTATTAATATTGTTATTATCTTTTCCTTGTTGTTGTTGCCGTTGCGGTTCTTGTTGTTGCGGTGGTTATGCTTGTGGTTTTGGGGCCAGGTCGAACCCATCTTTGGGCTATGCGGGGCGGTCTTGGGGCGACGTTGAGCTCATTTGCGGTTTATGTTGGGCCATCTAGGGCCTATGTTGGCCACCTTGGGCGCTAGGGCCTATGTTGGGCCATCTTGGGCCTACGTCGGCCTATCTTGGACCCATGCTGAGCCCGTCATGGGCCTATGTTGGCCAATCTTGGGGCTATGTTGGCCCATCTTGGGGCTATGTTGGGCCAATGTTGGAGCTATGTTGGTGGTATTTTGCACCATTTATGTTATTCGATTTTTTTCCGCCCCGGACCCCCTCTCCGTGGCCCAAACCACGTAAATACCAAGATGAAATCCATGGCTCCCAAGTGATGGGCACCTTTAAATCATGACGCAAAAGAGACCCAAGCTGTGACACGCAGAATGAATTGCATTGTCAGCACACACATCTTGGGCGTGCACGCGACACCTGTCACGCAAGCGCCGGAAACCATGACGAACTGCACAGACAAGATCTTCATATCTTGGAGGCAGGCAAAGAGTTGCAGGCCATCGCGCCAGATGCTGCAAGTGTTCAGGCCAAGGCACATCCTTGCGGTTGACCTTCAAAAGTTACAGCAGGCCAACTAGGCTCAACAAGTAGGAGTTGCCTGCATTTGGTGTGTTCCCCCTGCCAACGCAGTGTGCAAAACAGACGTATCGGACCAAATGTCCGCCAGTGCAGGCGAGGCAGACCACGAGACAAAGCACTCGGCAGCTCATTGATTCGCTTGGCCATGGCCGTTCATCTTTGTCCACAATGGACTTGATGTCAGTGATCACATCATCCGGTGCCTCAAAAGCTACCGCACGCAAAGCAGGACGTAGCTTGTTGAAAATCTGCCAAAACTCAGAAGGCCTCAAGGCAGAGAGACCAGAGCCGATGTCTTCCAAGGATGTCCGACGTGGGAACGAGATCTGGCAAACTCATGGTGAGGATAATGTGTGTGGTAGCCGGTTGACCATACGCCAGGTGGAGTCAGGTCAAAGTAACCACCAAAACCATGCTGGGCAGGAAAGCCATGAGAGGGTGCCACAGGATGGCGGAGGAGGCAAAGCCGAGTGATGTCCGCTGTGCGTGGCACCACAAAAAATCTAGGTGAGCAAACAGGTCTGGGTCAAAAATTCTATGGATGGTCAAGGCAAATGAAACATCAACATCACAAAACACTCCAAAAGAGCAAAACAGCCAAGCATTGAAAAGGGAGAGTCAGTTGCAGACCTAGTAGGGTAATACGCCCACAAAGTCCAACCTGCTAAACATGGCGAGCGCACCTTCCAGAAAATGTACTCCAGAAAGAAAAGGAATAGCAAACGATTTAGAGTGCTCCAACTCTAAACCGAAAGTATATACAAAATTTGAAACTCGTGGTCGCTAGCCGTTCAGGCAGTGACACGCACATGCTCACAGTTTAAATATTTATGGTCAATCCATGACCAACATTTATGAGAAGTTGCGGCAAAAAACTTTGACGTAAAGAATGCCTTGACCAGGACCATTCCTGGGGTCCTGAAACGCAAAAACAACAATTTCAGACAAAATCATGGTGAACATAAACCAAACAGTGACCGCGGGAGCACAAAGGCATTGGTGCTACGCAGGCCAAAGAAAGCGAAAAACCCTCGACATCAGGGCTACGCAAGCACAAAGACGCTTGTGCAAAGACTTTGAAAGTATTGGCAGGGCTTCGTCAAAGCTATCCCCAGGCGCATAGCTATCCCCGGGCGCAAGTAAAATAAAAATCATACTCATCAGGTATCAGCACTTGTTGCGCAACCGGCGCAATCTTTGGGCTGATACGACCCTGGATTTCATTCAAAAAAGAGTTTGAAAGCCAGGAATATCGCAAAGAGACACTATACAAAAATGCCCAATGCCAAGGAGCAGCACTATCCAGGTTTATCAAGCCTTGTAAGAAAATTCTATGAGCCACAGATCCAAATTGAGATGGCAGATGAGAAAGATATCATACCCAGCTGCACACTGAAATTGCGACCTGGCCGCATGACAAAAAGAAAAGTTTGAAACAGAATGGGGCAACAACCCTCAAACTGACTATTCCATACATGGATGGTCTGGGATTCTTGTCTTCTTCACAGCATTTGAAACCATTGCCAGTCATTGTGGATGATGATGGTTCAGTTGCAGGCCGACGTCTCTCTAAAACAGTGATGTTCTTGTGAAACCCGACAGCTCTACAGGTTTGCTGGGACAGACCCAAGCTAGCTGCGTCTCTTCCCTCAAAGGGCGCTCACAGCAGCAGCTCCGCCTCGATCCAACGACCGCAGCCGTTCGTCGCCCCACTCCCGCCGAGGCGCGCAACAAATTGCCCCGCGCTCGAGGGCGACGATGCTTCATCCACAGCTTCGCGATCATGCTCACTAGGCATGGCATCTAAGCTCCATAGATGGCTGTGGGTCACTTTCCAAGATGTTGCTTTTCAAAAAAGCATGAGAGCATGTGAGAACTCGCCTGGAGCATTGAGTAGGGACACTCACTATATTTATAGCTATTGGGAATATCCTGCCAGCTGCGAGCGAGCTTTGACCCACAGCCCTTCAAAACTTGACACCCCCCTGAGGTTTCTTGGCACAGATGTCCCTTATCTGCTTAAGTCTGTCTGTCCTAAGGGATTCTGTGCCAAGAGTACTGAGGAGGGTGGGAGGGTATTTACGATCTGGGCTGTTTTCTCCTTGTCTTGGCTTGGCCAAATGCCACTGAACCAGCCCAGATCAGATCTCCGTGAAACAGCTTATCCGAGCCAGAGACAGCCACAGCAACTCGTTTCGCCGAGACCAGCCATGGCAACTTCTGACAATCGGCCAAGACCAGGCCGACCAGGCCCAGCTGAAGCAAAAAACCTGCCATGCGTGTTTTCTCGTTGGCCAGTTGGTAGACCAAGATCTTCCAAGCATGTTTAACTATAAAGAAAAGCCGACATGCAAACATGTTTTCCTTGCTGAAAAATCCCGGAGTAGAAATAGTCTGAAGAGATCTGACTCGCCAAGTGTCACAGCGGAAGACAGCATCTTCCAAGCCCTTTTTTTGCGTGTCGAAGTGGGGAATCTGCGGCCTCTACTCAACGACCCCGAGGTCAAACCACAATGATTCAAAATTGGAACATGGTACATGTCCCCCTGGTGGTGGCCACCGGACTCCCTCAGTGTTGCTGGAAAATGCGAAAAAGCTCCTAGTGGCGTCCGAACGCTCCGTTCGTAGCGATGCCAGGATCCCCTCTTGTTTTCACCTGATCTGTTCCTCCTAAAGAGTGTACTTTTTAGTCTTTGTTTGGAGAACAAGAACAGGTGGACAAAAGGTTTACCGCATTCCCGTGTGTGTGGCATAAAAAGATCGCGTTCAGCTTCGTGGATTCCGTGGCCCGCCTGCAGTGATGGTACCGGGGCCATTCGCACCGCAGCCGCGCCATGGCGAGACGTTGATCGACTGGAGTTCGCTTTGGACCTGAAGTTTGGTGAAACCTCTACCGGCCGGCTCGCGATTCTCGTAGGCAAAAGCAAGATCCAAGGAGTCTGACCGTCTGACCGCATCATGGTGAAGTCGTTCCGCCGATGTGAACGCCCGAAGTTGCTGTGGACTTGATCCGGAGAGAGTCGCCGCGGCCGGAGAGTTCAGGACTTGGCCACCAAGCCATGGAAAGGCTGTCCGAAACGATTGACACAAATGGTATTTAGTGGATGGATGTTGATGGTATTTTCAAGGTATAAGGCTTCAGAAGGCTTCATGGTGGGACAAGATAATCTTTTTTGTCGGATGGTGTTGGTCGCAGGCACGCGTAGGCTAGGGATATATATATATTATACACATAACATAATATGATCTCCCTAAGCTTCAAAGCTGAAGTTTAACTTCGTATTGGCCAAATACTATGTTCAACATCGCATTTTGGACATGTACAGGGATCCATTATGCCTATACAATCCTATGGTCCTGGACCAGGTCGGCTGATCGGTCAAATATGCCAGGTCAGCTGGAGTGTCTCGGATACTTGGAGTGTCTCCATGATCAAAATACTTCTGACAGAACGATGCTTGCCTTTTGATCCAGCGTGTTTGGCATGTCAAGGTGAAGGTGGCACAACCACGGCACGCTTTTCTAGCTAGCTTGTCTTGCCCAGAGCAAAGCTCTTGAATGAAAATTCCCTTTCTCCTTTGCCTATAGGGCTCCAGTTCGGTTCGGTGAGAGTGGTGAGGGCTGGATTTGGAGGGTCCAGTCACACCTTTATTTCGGAGCTAAGACGGAGCCCAAGACGTGGGAGCTGCCATAGGTCGTGCCGTGCGCGGAGAGCTCGTGTACGCTGAATGAACCCTCAAACTCGTCAGTGTTGATCTGGCTTCAGAGATTCACATGGATTTGTTTTACATGAGTTAACAGTTTACATAAACTAAAATCGAAACAACCACGCGCTGCGGTGCACCGACACGTGGCACAGCGCGGGCCGATGCGCGGTGCGGGGCGGGCGGTCTCTCGACGCGCAGCTGTTTTGGGCGAACACACCGTGCCATGGAGTTCGCTCGGCGGCCACGCGGAGGACCTGAGCGGCCAAGATGGATTGGATTCGACTGGGACGGGCCCGTGGCGTCGGATGGGAGATCTCCAAAATACCTGTGGACCAATTTATGGATCAATGGTCTTGCATTCTTGGCAGGCGTGCGAGACTGCGCGACTGCGCGACTGCCAGCGAGACGACCATAGCGAGACAGTTGGGTCCAGGTCGGGGGCACCGTCGGATGGCGAGTTCCGCCCGCCGCCTCTGTTGGTCCGCGGCGGAACTCGCGGCGGAGGGAGTTGCTGTGTTTTGAGAGCAAAAGAAAATCATATGCAAATGTGTAGCATAACGTCAAAACACAGGCTCTTGAAATGGGATCCGGGACTACACAATACTTGTCGTAACTCTCGTAGACCCGTACACTCTTGTTGTAAAAGGCTCTCATACAATCGCATAGGTTTATTTTACAGTATAGCATTTTGCATTGGAGCTTGCATACTGCAAAGTAGGGTGGGACGGGTAACTATTGCTTGCTGTTAAAGAGGAACATACACCCTGGCTTGTCGTGCAACCGAGATTTGTCGGAGTCAAAACATCAGAAGCGTTCAAGCCAAACTGAGACCGTCAAGGATGTAATTAATACTGTCCCACATGGGAATGTATTTCGCTCCAAACTTAATCACTGCCAAGAGCCAAATCCGTCGAAACACTTGTGATCATCCATCGACCGAGTGCGGCTGCTTGGTTTCCAACATGTCACAATGAAATGCCTGGTTGAACCCCACACTCGGTGCCAAAACCTAGCCGTCTTTCTTGATCAAGTAGGTGAGGTGGCATCTTCCTTGGCAACACGTTCAGTTCGACCCACACGGTTGATGGACCATAACCGCATGGACGATGGGAGCAGATCGGCTGGGCGTGTGGGAAAGAAATGGATCCCCGGGCGTGGACGGAGATCCCTGCTGGTGGTTTTCTGGCCTTGTTACTAGTAGCGATGCCCTTGCTACTAGTAGCTTCTTGCTACTAGTAGTAGTTTCTTGTTCCTAGTAGATTCTTGTTACTCCATATCTGATGACCCAGACAATCGATGGACCCAACCGAACCTCTTCGAAGGGAATTCGCGAATTCGTTTTAAAGGTTATCCACATACTTCCTGGGTAGGACGCTATATCTGGAAGAGGACGCTATGTCCAATGAAACCTGATGAGCACGTGATTTTTCCAGAAAGCGCCCTAACATTCAATACACATGTCTCACCTAAAGGGTGCATTTTGTCTACTCTAGTGTGGTGACGATGCTAGTGATGCAGTATCTGAGTCGCATTGCATCTTCTGCATCACCAATCCACCTCTTTGGGAAAAGGCAGGACCAGAGTCCACTTTACCCCCCACTGTTCGCATAAACTATCGTAAGAACAAGGCCAAGGATCCAAGAACGACAAAGAACGTCCTGCTGGGTCCAAGTGAACCCTCTATATTTATCTATGTTTATATAATTTTATATGTTGCTCACTTTGACATACAAAGTACGACAAACGAAAACTGCATAGAGAGGAAAACAGTCCTTTGAAATGTTAAACCGATCCCATCGCCTGGCTCAAAAACAAATTCTGCCCATGACTCAACCCGCAGATCCTGTGATTGCAAAGATTCAAGGAAAACCGGCGGAACTTGTACCTCACGCAGCAGACGAACACAGTCTTGTTGAAGGGTTCTCTCGTAGCTGAGTAGCAATCATTTGGATGACCTTATCCAAATGATTGACTCAATTCAATGAATAAGTGGTTGTTTGGGCTTAGTCCTGTTGACTGCAGGCCGAAAAAAGATAAGTAATAAAACACTACAACGTTCCATCCCAAAGAACAGCACACCTCTGCGAATACTTATATACATACAGTGTAATATATATATAATATATATATATAATATATATATATATATTATGTGTGTGTGTGTCTCGCTCATCCATGGCTCTTTGAGTTCATCTCCCGACCACCGCCCCCCAACCACTCCCAACCGGTCCATGGTCGACGCGAACGCCTCCATCGTCGACCGACTCGGACTGTCTTGGTCCAGGCGGCCGCAGTAGTAGCGGTTGAAGTGCATGGCCATGAACACACCGGGCCTCGGTGCTCCACCGGACCTCCTTCTGTGTCGGTTTTTTTCTGGGTCTGCGGGTGAGTCCGGGCGGAGGAGGGAGAGTCTGGACACGTCCACCGCTGTGGCTTCGGAAAAACACCGCGATGTGCAGCGCAGCGTGGAGTAAAGGAGTGAAGGAGTCTGAAGGATCGTGTGAGAATGGATGCCTTGTGATGTATTAATCCTATTGGGTGGGCCAAACAGGGATCATGGAGGATAGCGAACAGGAAGCGGAACATGGCCGAAGCAAAAACGCTAAAGGGAACAGCTTCAAATGAGATTGACAGGGCCATTGTTCATGGCCACATTGCCTAACAAACATCTCAAAAGATCTTCCAAACCCGGATGTGGCTTGAAGTCAAGCTCCAAAAAGGGTCGACCCAGTAATATTCTATATTACTTTGTGAGAGGGATCTGATTTTTGTTCCGCGGCATCTCACACCATGAATTCGGTGCGTTTTCTAAATCCGGTAGACTGGTCGAAGTCTCCCTTCACCGAACCCAGGGGGTCGGAACGCCACGGCCGTTTTGGATCGTTCAGAGTCGTTCGGCCACGCTACACACTCTCCATCTGAGCACGCAGCCCGCAGCGCTCGTCCGGGCATTCACGACGCAAGCGTGTCACCTCCGTTGGCCACGGGGAGTCCAGACGGCCACGGGGAGAATCCCACCGGAGAGGAGTGAGATGAGACGACCATGGTCTCGAGGGGTGAGGGGTGAGGTTTTGACCTGACACCATGGTCTCGAGCTTGACGCTATGGGGAGGTCGGTTCCAAGTCCGGGAGTTTCAGGGGGGGGCACTGAATTCACTTCGAATGACGGTCAATAAAGTCATTGGAATACACTGCATCATGTCATGTTCCGTATGTTTGTCACAAAAACGGCAGAGGTTGATCTGCCTTCAGAGAAGGGCAGACCTGTTCGCACCATGGTCAAACCAGGTCCGCCGGGCGGTAGAGCGCCCGGAGAATCGGTAGGGCGATGGGAGCGCAGTGGGAGATCGGACTGGACTGCCTTGTCGTTGGAGTCCACCTTGTAGAACTTCAGGACTGCGAGCTTGACCTCTCCGCAGATGGCTTGACAATGCTTGACAGGGCCCAGAAAAATCAGAAGAATGCATGAGGATACTTCTGGGTTCTATCAGTGGGAGCTTAGTCCGTGGTGGATTGTTTTTGGCAGCATTTCTTGGTAGTGGCATTCCGGAACTGAAGACTGTTCAGCATCGAGTGAGGAGCTGCAGTTGAGGAACAAAAATGGTATGTTCTGATTATGTTGGGCAATTGGAGAGCCGGCCAGCCCCATGCCACAGTAGTTCTGTCCCGGTCCCTGAGAAGATCGATCACAACCCCCAAGGTTCCCATGTATAAAACATGCCATCGATGGTTCTTGTCTCTTCAACGATGTCCGACCTGTTGAGCCTCCCCATCTGCCCGGGCCCCGAAAGGCTGACGCCTTCTTGCGCTTGTGCTTGATCTTCTTGGGCTTGGTGTACCTGGGAAGAACAAACTTGGCTACCACTGTTGATGGCCCAAGAGGTGAGGAGGAAAAGGCCTCTGCACAACCAAACATTGAAACCCCATGTACAACCAAACATGCACTGTCACCCATGGTTTGAAGAGGAAATGGGAACAGGGTGAACAACTTCCAAAGCTTTGTGGTTATTTCTCAAATTCATCCGCATTGTTCCCTACAGTGTGGGTTCAATCTTGTTTGTCGATGCCTGCTGGACAGGAGCAGTCTTGCCCACGATGTCTTGTCTTTTCCTCTGAAACATGGCGCCTTCCGTAACAGTTAAGGGGCCAGCCCCTGCTGAGCACTCGCGCGCTCAGACAAAACCCCCATGCACAAGGCTCCGGCTGAAAAAGGAACACATTGAAATTGGTTGCAGGATAGAAACATGGGTCTGGAGTTTCAATACAAACATGGGTGCTACATATTCGTTTTCTGCTGCTTATATCCAGTGACAAATTGATTCTATTTGGTGAGCAACAGGTGATTGCCCATATCGAGCAGGTCACAGTTTCCATCCAACCCTGGGAAAAAGGATTCTCTTCCTCAGCTGGAAGGCTTGCATCAGTGACCCACAATCTTGTTGAGGGACAAAAAGACTAGGATTATAGTGTAGGCTCTTTGATCAATAAAAACACCCCTCTCCCTGTCAAGCACGGCCTCCGGAGGAGGGGGTATCCGTAAAGCTCCATGCCAGGGAGGTTGCAGCAAGTGTATGAACCGTGAAGAGTCCTTGAACCGAAGCAAGATGCCTCGTGTGCTTCGAACCAGCCTATGAACCACCTTCTCTTTGAATTGTGTTATGGGGGTCGGCCCATGAATCAGCCTTTTTGTAAACATGTGCGCAGTTTAAACAAAAATTCTCCCGGCAAGAGACCCCAAACACCGGTGCTTAACTACTACCGTAAGAACCCCTGTCCGTGTGTCCACACAGAAGTGGGGAGAAAACCACCCTCTCCCGGCGCTCGCGTGCGCTCGCGTCTCGGATCACGTCTTCTTCTTTCGCTTCTTGCCGCCTCCTCCGATCGTCACCCGCGTCACCCGCGAAAGGTCGATCGATCGATCTCAGGGCCGAGCGGTCAGAGGCGGAGGCGGAGGCGGCGTCACAAAACCGGACCCGGAGAGGAATGTCCCGGTGGACTTCCTTGAACAGTTGCAACAACTGGACTGTTTCTCCAAACAGTCCCCTCAGGTGGTATGTCATACAACTCGTATATCTTCTCTTCAAAAAGTCCAAACGTGAACTGATTGCTACCCCCGCAGGATCTCACCTTCACGAAATTCTCGATCCAAAGACTTCGTAGGATGGACCGACCATATACACTCCCAAGTAACTCTCATGGACCCGGGCTGGTGGAACGTCCCCACCCCACTTGGCCGCTGCGTGAGTCAAAGGAGTCGGAACCGACCATGTCATGTTGAGAGGGGAGATCTTGGCTGAGCGAGGTTGCCCAAATATCCGGGGTAGCTGGAGCAAGTTAAGTTGTCCCAGTCGTTGAAAGCACCCAACGGTATATGGACACCAGCAATTAGTACGTACAGTGCCAATTCTTAATCCCGAGTGATCGCGAATCCAATTGCTTCGAAAATAAGCCATTGTCCAATCGGATTCTCCAGAGATTGGATTCATCCCAGCCATTGCACCGGAACCGGAACTCACTCTCACCTGAACTCACTCTCACCCACCGGAGAGTGGTTTCACAGAAAGAAACCAAAACCGCGGTGGAAACGAAACGACTGCCTTCCAAGTCCAAGGAGAGAAAGAGCGTCGACCTTCGCGGCGAACGGGGTTTCACCCCACGCGCTTTTAGTGGACGGAGAGTCACGACAGAGAAAGAGACGTCAGAAATGAGATAATGAACGATGAACGAAATCTGGTGATTGGAACGATCAGAATAATGTCCTTTGGTTGGATTAGATAGGCAAAAACTGGATTCAAGCATATTCAAGATCAGGATCTTGCTCCTGCTCATCTGTATAGCCAACACCTATGACACCCGGGTTTACCAGTATTTGATCTCCGTCTGGTCTCCAGATCCCCAGGATGTATGTTATGAGTTCACCTTGCACACTTGCGTCATCCAAACTACCACCCTACCACGGTGAGGTGGGGCGGACTTGTAAAGTTCCTTGCATACCCCAAAACTACGTTGGTAAATCTACATCAATCCAACACCAGGACCCTGAAACAGGTGGTGTTGAATCCCTAAAGCTAGGGCTAGCACTCGGGCGAAAGGTGTGGGAACCAAAGAATTGCAAAGTATCTCAAAGGTGTTGATGGTAGGCATCAACACGTCAAGCAATGTCAAACATAATTCCACAAGTGCGAAAACAGAAACAGATCCAAAGACGAGGAATATGGGATCGGGATCAGTGTGAAAGGCTGGCAAATCACGTGTCTTGTTCACACCCTTTTGGTTCATGGATTGACATAACATGTTGCTCGTGCCTTTTGTACACTTGCCTTCGTCGATCGCACGTTGAAATCACAGTTGTTTGACACGTGTTATCCCTTGCTGAAAGCATATCTTCTTCGCAGGTCTTCATACATACCTTCTGCATGTTTCATGGGTCGGCGTACACTTTACAGTAGTCATAACCCTAACAGGTGGAGCATGTGCACCTCCTGTCTTCAGGAAACCAGTTGAACAAGGGTCCAGGTACACTCCAACCACCTGTTTGTAGAGGAAAATTGCCTTTCCATGGTCCATTTTGATCCATTTTGCACTTCAATGATTTGATTTCAGGGAGCGTATATAATGCTCCGGTAACAACCAAAACTGCTGGGTTCCACTTCAACCAAACCCACGTCTCGCGATCTCCATCGCCAGGGGGCTCATCCTCAATGCCGGCATCCAGCAAGCTGGGCGGTGCGTCAGGTGTCCAAAAAGACTGGAGGAAGACATCCAAACAAGGATGCTACTAGGGGCTCCTGGCATCGCCACTAGGAGCGTTCGGACGCTACTAGGGGCTCCTGGCCTTACTACTAGGAGCAAGGACGCTACTAGGGGGTCTTTGAAGTTACTAGGAGCAAGGACGCTACTAAACAAAACCTGGGAGATACAAACCATGATGAATACCCCGGATTTCACTGTTGCGCAGGTGATACCATTGTTGCAACTTCCCATGGCATTTGGAGGATGAACCTATTGTTTCTTCTAGCATTAATCTTGTAGACTCTAGAGGAATGACAATTTGTTGCAGAACTTCCTGCATCTGGGATCTGCAAACATCACATCATATCTTACTTTTCATCCCAGGTGCAGGAAGGGACTCAACAGTTGGGTTCTTTGCAACTCTGGGACCCTTGTCGGACCCAACTCGGTCCAGTCTCGGTCGCCAGTCCGAACCGGAACTTGGAGCTTCAGTATGATGTTATGGGCGTTGCCTTCGTCACACCCCATCAGTTGCATGGGTTAATTACCATTTAGCCGCCCAAAACCACTTGCTCAACGGAATCTGATGCCTTTGCTTCTGCACCTTTTCCGTGCCATGCCCTCCGTTCCCGGGGCGACGGAAGAAAGACGCGTGCCATTGCCGTGTGCGATGAGTCGCAAGAGGCGAGAGCAGAGTTCCCCCTGGACCCTGGGACTCCATCATTGAATCCGACCCAACTGAAGCTTCTCCAACCAGGTCTTTCTCAAATCGAGCCAAGCCAGTGCTTTTCTTGGGACCCACCAGCTTCTCCCTCCAGTGGCCACGCAGTCAGTCGTCTTCGTTCACCTCTTATTGGAAACCTTCAAAACACCAGGATAAACTCGAACCGTCAGATCACCCCAACCGCCGCTCTCACCAGCCTCTCGGTGTTGGTCAAGGATCGCCCGGCGAAGATCAGGCGCTGCTCGTCGCATGGCAGGCCCTGGCTGGGGGTTGGCATGTGCCGGCTACGGGCATGAAGGGGTGGCGGTTTCAACTCCGGAAATGGCTTGATAAGTTGCTTGGGACTCATGTCAGGTACAGGTTGGAGGTGAAGATTCAAAGCAATTTGCAAATAACTAAAACCACCGATCAGGAGGTGGTGCCATGGCCAGTTGGCACGAGAGTGATCATAGAGAGTGATTCTACACTTTTCACTCACCTTCCATGGCTTCGTGGAGTTTAAGGTTCCTGTTCGTAAAGGAAAGGGCATCGTCCCGCACCAAACGTGGCATGACTCTGGACCGAAACCGGGTGCCATTCGATCCCGGCCGGGCCAAGGTCCTGGCCGAAGCAGTCGGTCTCGTCCAGGGTTCACGGAAGGTCCAAAACGGGACCCAAAAAAAACGAACGGATTTGGAAGGGTTTCCTGGACCACCGTGGCCTGCTGTTTTGTTGACGCCATTGATCCCACACGTACAGCAAGTAGGGTTGTAAATGTCTGCATTTCCTGAGAGAATGATGAGGAACGCCACAAATAAGATTTACAGTGTTTACTGTGGTTCCAGGTTTTGTTAGGATTTCTTCCTTCAACAGGACCACTCAACATATACCCCTTTCATGCCCATTTCTCCCAAAGTACCAGCGAGCCAATCCGCCTGGATCTCGGCGATCTGTGTCTTCAAGCTTTCCACACTGGCCTGATGCGCGGGTCAATGGGTCAAGACCATTCGGCCAGCCCGGTGTTTTCCCACCGAGAAGGAACCGAATCAACCTGGTGAGGTCCACCTACCGTGAGTTCCGGGCTGCTTTGGACCCGCCACGGCCCCAGGGCACACCCCGCGTCGTTCTTCGTCGCGGAGCGGAGACCCGCGGACAGGTCGGGTCACTGACATGAAGCAAGTGAAGCACCCGACGGTCTTCGGACCTGGTCCTGGACCTGGTCCCTTTGGCGCGTACACAGCTAGTTCGGTGCGGTTTGGCTTCTGAGGTTTGTAATTTATGCCAGAGGATGCCAGAGGTGAGTTCTTTTGCAAAAAACAAGACTTTTGCAAGGAGACAACATGAAGACATGATCAGACTCACCTCTTCTGCTATAGTGGTATGCTGAGTCACAGGTTTCATTGCGCGAACTCACATTGATGGAGTTCAATGAAGAAATGACTGTCCCAAACCTCCGAAGCTTCTCCACTGTCATGTAGCATCTTTATGAATAAAACATCAAACCACCCCATGTCCATGGATTGAAAAATCCTCTTCAGGCCTGGCGGGGGTGAAACATCATCAAGAGTCTACATGGTACATTGCGGAACAACGCTACAAACACGCTCCAAACGCTACAGCCTTCACATTCGTTTCCTCATACCCCACACCGCAACATCCCGACCGACTGTGCTTTTCACCGACCGACGGGGACATGCCGACCCACGTGCCGACCCGCCTGAGCCTCCGCCCGCAGCGCGAGCGTCTGCCCAGCCACATCGCGGACGAAGAGTTGCATGGCGCCGCTGCTCTGCTCGAGCCGACCCGGTCGACTGCAAAGCCGAAGATGTTCCACGGTGCTTCGCATGCATGAGGGAGGTGAGGGTGACCGACAGGATCTGATGTCAAAGGATCCGATGTAAGAGAGGATGCCCCACTCAATTGGGTAAAAGCCTTGGGGAAGGGGGAAGGAGGAAGGATCATATTGGTTCGACCTCGAAGACCCAAAGTATCTGGGTAGTGACGTTGAGTACTCAAGAAGAAACAGCCACAATACTAGCCCATCCAGTACCATCCGATCGAAGGGCCAGGGACTGGAAGCCCGGTGAAAGGAGGGTTTCGTGTCCTAGTGTCCGCGCGAAACGCGCGGCCGCGAGGGGTTTGACCTACATCGCCCAAGTGAAGATGCTCTCCAAATGCAAAATCTTTTTGAGCGCGAAGTCCAAAGAACAGCTGACGCTCTCTTTTCTGCCACCGGTGCACACAGGCGGACCCTGCGGAAGCCGCGAAACAACTAGATCATCTGGATCTCTGTTCTACGAAGTCAATGTTGGCATGGAAAGTGGCGTGAGTTTCTTCTCTAGGTCACTGAAACCCTGCCCTTTCACAGTCATTGTAATTAGATATAGTGGAACGTCATTGTCAATGTCCCATCGTCACTAGTAGTGGTTGATGGCTGGTAAAGGCCTTTACTTACCAAAACATCCTGAGTGCTTCTTTGATTAAAAAACATGAATTCCAATGAAGTACCATCATGTACTCACTGCTTCTGGCGTCTGGATTGTAGTGACCAAGTCTGGACCAGTCTGGAGAAGTCAGAGGCTTCTTTCAGCCTGCGATTGAGTCGGAATCATCCCCAGTTGCCTCACGAAAAGGTTCAATAGTTTGGTTTGCTGGAACTAGGCTTTTCGTCCGCATTTGACACCTATCCACCTCAGTCACGTCAGATAACCATGAAAAAGCAGTCACTGCCACTTACCTCACATCCTCGGCGCTACGCAAGCGAGCAGCTGCTACGCGCTTGCGAGACCGCTAGGACTGCTCACTGCATGTGGCACCTGAGGCCGCCCCGGGATTCGCCCGGTCTGTTCCAGAGGGGAGGTCAAGGGTGCTGAGGTCCCAGACTTCCTGATGGTTGTCATAGTGTAGAATTTGTCCTGATGGCTTACCCATCTCGTTGATCAATGCGCCAGAACAGAGCCCCAAAGGTCGAAGCGTTTCTGACAGGTTGGGTGGAAGCAGGGACCTGCCACTTGGTTTCCAGGTCGGAAATCGTTCATCCAGAAATATATATATATATGTAAAAACAGAGGCAGCTGACTCCTATCAGCAAACATGCGGGCGTCTTTTCTCCATCCACTCGGCTTGTGCCGAAAGAGTCCCTGAGATTCGCACGACTGCCACCCTTCCGATGATGGTGGTCAAGGTGCTCGTGTGTGGGTTTTTCACACTGGTACTAATCTCTTCTATGCTTTATACTGGCGAACTTGGCTCGTCCCTGGAATAAGAGGGCCCTGCTTCAGGCCAGTTTGCTGCTCATACAAAACAATGAAATCGCAAAAATCTTTCAAATGTCCACCGGCGGTCTTGGACCGAGCTTTGCACCAACGGACGTAGTTGGTCTTCTTCTGATCTGAGCTGCTCACCACATCGAGGTATGAAAGGCCCTGATTGTTGAATTGTCCGAAACTCAGCAACGTTTGGCCCCACTGAGCCAAACTGGAAATGCCCTCTGGGAAGGAAACAGCATCTTCCTCCTGGCTGGGAAGATAGGTTGGCTTCACATCAGGAGCCGTCCATGGTCCACCCTCATATCCAGGAATGTCGCTCTCATACTGAATTGAATAGCCATCGGGGGCTGCTGATGAAGGCATGGGCACTGATACCGCACTACGTTTGGTGTTCTTGAACTGTTCTGACACTGGATCCCGGCGCTTGCATGCGTCGGTCATGGCACCTGAGCTTGTGACCAACGAGAACTCGCCGTCTGAACGGCAAGGACTCTGAGGAGGCATACCGTGAGCTGCCGCTTGGAGCACAGCTTCACTGATCTTCTCATCTGGTTGAGCCTTCTGGAGCAAGGACACAAGCTGGCGTTGTTCCTCCGGTGTGAGAGACATGACAAGAAAAGGCTCTGCTCTCCGAAAAAGATTCGAGGTCAACAAGACTCACGAGGCAAAAATGCTTGAGCAAAATGTACATTGATCAATGAAAAACATTCTCTCACCAAAGCGGAGTCTACACAAAAGTTATGTCTTGGCTAAAGGCATTCATTTCAAATTCCTCAAAACATGCACTGGCTGCAATGAAGACTGACATCAAACCTAAGCACGAATGTTCGACTCACCCTCACGAGTCCTCATTCCTGACTCCCCGTTTGATCCTACTCAATCCTCATTGACTCGTTCCCTGAGGGGAACTCTCGGAAGGAGGTGTCTTCTCAAGCTGGCGGTTTTTCTGACGCCTGTTTCGTTCAGCTGCTTGCTGGGCCAAAACAAAATTCTCTGGCGAGATCTGGTAAGACGCTGTCCTAATGCATGACCTAAGTAAGTCGATCGGGTCCTGCTTGTCCTTAGTGAGACCATCTGCTAGCATGCGATCGGTTGGAAGCCATCGAACGATTCCCTGAGTAATAGCCAATGACTCTCTGATGATCACTATGTCAATACTCGTCCTACGATCCTCCACTGCTGTGGGGGCCGAGGGAGATGTGAGATGATCAAACAGAGATTTACAGTCGGTGGCCAGAACAGGAGGTCTTCTAGAAAGCCTAGACCTACTCTCTCTTGGATTGAAAGGGCCGTCCAAAGCCTCGCACAAGAGAAGATTGACCCACTCCACAGATCCGGAGGCGCATGCCATGGATTGGCTCTCAGCCCCGAGTGTCGAGCTCACTGCTCGAGGCAGTTTGTAACTGCGCCACAAACAAGGTGTCCAAGGAGCCACTAACCCTTTATCTAAGTCCATGCTAGTGAAAGCCAAAATGAACCCTGCTTGAGTGTGTGTACCTAGGTTGGCGAAGGCTGCGTCACTGTGACAACAGATCCTTAGCTTCTCGGGAGCAATACTCATGAAGGTGATCTCCAAGTCCTTGTTCATCTTTGCTCTGCGAATTGCGTTATTTGCATCCCTGAGTGTTCGCACGGTGGGATGAGGAAAGGATTGTTGACACATACTGGTTTGCACCACCAGATCAGGCCTACTTTGAGAGGCAATCCAGTTGAGACTTCCATTGATAGCTCGAAGTACTTTGATTTGGCCCTCATGGAGTTTGGTTTCGTTTGCACTACCCTTTGGGATGTTGGCGGGCCGCATGGATTCTGCGAAAAGTCTTTGAGACATGTGGATCTCTTTGGTGCTTTTGTCCTGTTTATAGTAACTGCCACAAAACTCTCCCTCACCTACCCGCCACTTCCGATACGGGAAGCGAGCTTTAAGGGATGCAATGGCTTTCTCAAAAACTGGTCCGGATCCTCCTACTGCGGTATCGTCCACGTGAACTCCCATAATACCGATGAGCTGGTTGGTGTTTGGGTCTCTGAGAAAGTACAGGCACGAATCAAAAACCGAACGACACCACCCGGCCGTCACGGCCTCTAGATGAAAAGTCTTGAACCAGCTAGCCGGCGCGTCATTCTGTCCGTAGACATTTCCGATCACCTCAATCACAGCGTCGCTCGGCACTCCTGGGATGCCTCCAGGAGGGTGAGAGGCGAAAAGCGGACGGAACTTGTCATCCAGTGGCCCTGCCTCCATGAACGCTCCTTTTATGTCTCCTAACTGAAGGTCCCATCCAAAGGAACAAATCAGTTGCATGAGAATCATACGGGAGATTTGATTGAGAGTAGGTGACTTAAGCAAACCTTCTTGGGCCTTTTGTTCGAGATCCGGGTCCAAATGCCCCTGAAGACACCACCGGCTCTTGATGCGAAATGTGTTTGAATCCTCCGGCACAATCTTTTGATTTTCTTCGGCTGGTTTACGGATGATGACGAACCGACTGCCGATGAACCTATGAGGATACAGGGCTTTTAATTTTGCAGCCTTCTTTCCATAATGGATTCGAACATCAGATTTCTCGGTAATGGTGTTCCATTCCTGAACTTTGGATTCATCCACTAACCGTTGCAGCTTGGGATCCTCGTTGGTGTGTGGAATTTCCTTGCTAAGCTTCTTTTGCAGATATGCGGCCATCAGGACCTCGATCGGGCGGTCTGGATGCCAAGAGTCCCAAACTTCAGAGCATTCCTCCACGAGCAATTGTTCCTCATCGTGGACACTTTCTGCCATCCGAACGCGAGTTGTGGGTGGTTCCTCAGCTGTGTTTTCCAGTTCTTCAGAAGATCTCTTCAGTCCTGAAGTTTCCGATATCAGTTGAGAATCACTTGGGTTCAATGACTCCACCAAAATGCGAGGAACCATTTCTCGCATCAGATCAGTAAAATCTTGCTCGCGCATTGCTGCTGGTCGAAAAAGAGCTGCTTCGCCGGCTTTCTGGGGGATTCGTCGGCGAACAGGTCCATATGAGGACTCGTCTCTTGCTGGATTGCTGGAATTGGATCCACCGATCGACAGAGAAGGAAATTCTTCCTCGGTCTCATGCTGATTGCTGTTGCTTTCTTGCTGAAGTTCTGGTTCTTGATCCGGTGGCACCACTTCCATAGGCACATCAGCTGTTTCTGGCGTGCCCGAGTTGAGATCAGATGCAGTGACGTGTTCTTGGACTTTCCCTGGAGGTATAGGTGGTTCTGACTGCGAAGTGGGGTAGTGTCCAGGAACCAGATCTACATACTGGTGACTGCGGAAAGTTCCACCTTCCAACAAATCCTTGATCCCCAACAATTCGGCTTGAGGAGACTCCAACAAGGTTCTTTCTTCTGACGTTGCTGCACGAAGTTGTTCTGGAGCCACCCTAAAAATTTGCTTGCGATGAGCTACAACATAGTTGCGTCCAATTTTGCACATAACCACCGCTGTACCAAACCAATGTCCCCCTTGAAGAACGTGCCCTTTTTGGGACTTGGAACCTCCTTGGTATTTTTGTTCTCGCCAGTATGCCACAAGGTCTCCAGCTTGGAAGTCCGGCGTCACCCGGGGTCTTGCCGCTAGAGCTCGACGCAGGGATTGATCACACTGTAGATCAATGATCGCCTTGCGAGCCGTTGCACGAATTTCCTGGGCCTTTTGGATGGCGGCATCTGTCAAGCCCAGTGTTGCTGGCACAACTCGTAGAGGTTCATCCAGAAGTTCTGTTGGAACCGAGGGATTTCGTCCGAAAACAAACTGGTGAGGAGTGAAGCCATGATTCTGAATCATTGCGTTCTTGACATGAGCTTGTGTTACCAACAAATCCCAGTCGTCCTTGTTCTCGGGAGTGTATTCTTGTACCAGCTTGGTTAACACGTTGCCAAACCATCCTCCGTGCCGCTCTGTGCGTCCCAACTGCCAGTGTGCTTCTGCGGCGATCGGCTTGCACTGAATACCCAACTGGTCCAAGTATTGTTGCATGGGTTCTCCCAAGTTTGTACGAGCTGGGTCTAGCATCACCACCTTAGGAGGTCCAAACACTTTCACCCATTGGGAAAACAGCTTTTGCAAGACTATCGAAGTTTCTTGCTCATGAAAGGGAAGCATCAACTGATAATTGCTAGCGTGATCAACCATGTTCAGTGCTTTGATGGTTTGATTAGGACGCCATCCGGTGAGATTCTTCACATCTATTCCTACGACCTGATTGAATTCTTGAGGACGGTCGATCTGCGCAGGCAGGGGGGTGTGTGGTTTACCCTGAGCTTGGCAAAACTCGCAACTCAGTGTCCTGGCCAGCGCAATGGCCTGGTCTGAGGCCTGCGCATGTTTTAACAAACGCACTAGGTCGCTGGACGACGAATGCCCGAGATTCTTATGTAGACGGACCAAGGCCTTCTTGACCGTTTCCTCATTTCCTTGGTCCAAATCATCTTTCACCATCATGACCTGATGCTCATGGTGAAAAGACCAAGGCACACACTCCGGCATCTCACACTTGGACAACTGTGCATATTTGGGGACTGAATTCATGACTGCTTGAACAAAAGCTGGCGTGTATTTTCCCGTAAAGCTACTGATTGAACCCACAGATGGATGAGACCCGGCTACTTGCTGGTGACAAGCATGTTTAGGGTGGTGAGCACCCGGGCATCGTCTCTCCAAGCTAGCCATGTTCTCATGACTGGTCAAAAGACGTGTGGGTTTCTGGATCAAGGTTTCAGATCCTGGAAGTCGGAGACCGAAATCGACAAAAATCACATTCCAACGGAAAAAATTGTTCCAGCAGTTTCTTCATCTCAGGATAGTGCCAAATGCGCGATCCCCGTGGATGTTCAAACAGCGCTTGTCCTCCGGCCTCCACTTGTTGTCTAAACAGGTCGCAGCAGAACCGAACGAAAATGCGGCTCTGTCTGACACGACGGGCCACTTCTTCTGTCGTCATGTTGAGAGCATTGAGGTTGAACCATCCACCCTCGTCTGTGCAGGGGGGTGAAAGAACCAACAAATCTGGTGGACTGTTGCGGAGTTCCCTGGAAACCAACGCCCGAACTTCAGCTTTGGACAGATCGTAGCCTGTCAACAGGTCATATGATTTGCAGATTCCACCCACACCCTGAACTAATGGTGCAAAGCGAGGAGGGCAAAAAACCTCGGCAACAGACAACGGTGACTTCTCACTCAGCTTCTGGGGTGTACTATGGTCAACCTGTCTCAACTTGTTCACCTGTGACCGCAATTGTCTCACATAGTGCACAGGGAGGTGTTCAAGCTTGGAAGTGATCTCCTGCGGTCGGAAGTAAAACTCCGTACGAGTGTGCATGATACCCGGTGGGATGGCATGACAATACCATGCTTTTCCTTTTTGAGGCACAATGGACTCATCAAAAACAACCTCTTCATTGTCCCTATTGATGACACGACGTCGAACGACCGAACTCCACAGAGGTCCTTGCTTGCCTAGGCCTGGGATTTTATCCAAAAAGGAATCACTACGAGACCAAAATTGAAGTCGATCGGACGTACCAAAGTCTTCAGGAATGGTCGGAGACGTCAGTCCTGAGTGATCTTGCAAGTGATCAGGCACGGGTGATGCCTTGGCGGCATCTTGGCTGCACATGACCTCTTCTTCGAAGTCAGCCTTGTCAGATTTGCCAATCACATTGACGGCGAACTGTCCGGCCTCGTTTGTGACCAGGGGCACCACTGTGCGATCTTCAAAAAGGGTCAGAGTTTGTGTGCCGAAATCAATGACTGCCTTGAGGGTTTGCATGGCATTGCGGGAGATCAAAAATGGAGCCTGGCCCTTCACAATGGCAGTGCGGATGGTTCCCTTCTTCCCACCCAGCAGCACTGGAAGACGGATCACTGCCGTGGTCGTCTCCCGTTCTCCATTGCCAAACCTGAAGTGATTGATCTCTGACAGCTCTTCGGGAGCCTGGATGCCTGCTGACTTCCAGAGTTTGCGGAATTCACTCAAAGTTTCACGGCCAATTATGGATCGACCACAACCGGAGTCCAGCACACCAAAGCCAGGAGAGCTCACCAACAACACTTCGGGTGATGGACCCGAGTTCACATGAGAGAGCTCCATCATGTCCCGACGGTGTCGGAGGATGGACAATACCGAGTACTGCTCTGGACAAATAGCAGCCATAGCCACGAACTCGTCACCTTCCAGGGGGCCGTCCGGATCGGACTTCCCGTACACATGTTCTGTCACCAGAGCAGCACCAGATTCTTTCTTGTAGCCGCTGGACGACGCTGGCTTGACAGACGAAGATGTCGAAGTCCTAGGCATAGTGCACTCCCTCGACCAATGTCCGACAGCACCACAGCGATGACACTTTGTCTTTCGTTTGAGCTCGGCAATCTCGACTCTGTAGCTTCTCTTGAGGTCTGAGGCCGCTGAAAACTTCCTCGATCGTTGGAGCTTCCCCAACTCTTTCCTCCTTTCCTTCCAAGAGACAGCGAGGGCCTCAGCAACTTCTTGTTCGGTGAACAGTTCACTGTCTTCCAAAGAATCTCCTGCCGACAAGTCGTGTTCTGCTAAGAAGGATTCGACCTCCTTGGCCAAGTCGGTATCGTCTTCATCAGGCTCTTCGGGTGCAGTGTGACCGAAGTCCCCTTCAACAATGCCAGCGGCAACATGCCTTTTCCTCTGTACGACAAACTCCGGGTAGCATGAACGCATTGCTCGACCAACTTCGTCACGCTTCAGCACGCCCAGAGATCTGGCTAAGACCACTGCTTTCTGCTCATCCGACAGCCCAGAACGATGTAGGATCAACCATCCTCTGGCCTCTTCCGGAAAGGCCACGTTGACCTTGCGTTCCACCTTATCGAACAGTTCAGTGGCACGAGAAATCCAAGTCTTCAGACTCTCACCTTCGGCAGCGCGAAGATTGAAAATCTCTGTGAGGGATTCACTCATTTCATCGCTAGCATCTTTTTGAGGAAAACGCTTGTCCAGTCTGTCCAGCAAGATCTTCTCTCCTCCTTCTTTTTGGTATGTACTGGGATCCAAGTGTTCCACCGTCTCCAGCGCTTTGCCCGACAACAAAGTATAGATAAAGGCCCCACGAGCCTTTGGTTGCACTTTGTCTTCCAAAGTCAGGAGCTTGTTTTGCACCCAGACTTTCCATCGTCTGTACTCCTTCGCATCTTCGGCTTCACCGGAGAAGTATCGTAGGCCTCCTTGGCCTTCTGAGGCTGCAGCCATGGCGCTCGTGTGTCACGCAGGAGTCCTATCCTGCGGGAGCCACGGAAAACCGTGGCTCCGCTACCAATGTAAAAACAGAGGCAGCTGACTCCTATCAGCAAACATGCGGGCGTCTTTTCTCCATCCACTCGGCTTGTGCCGAAAGAGTCCCTGAGATTCGCACGACTGCCACCCTTCCGATGATGGTGGTCAAGGTGCTCGTGTGTGGGTTTTTCACATATATATTATATGTCTTCCTCTTGTCATCAAACTCTTGGACCACCAAGAGCTTCCACAAAAAATTCCCCAATGCACACACAGTATTAAGTAACCAACCCCCTATTCATCAATCCCAGCTCGACACCCCCAATACTAACTAATTTAAAACCTAGATTTCTACCTTGGTATCACCCTAATAATTGTTTCTTGGGCAGAAACCTCCCCCTATAAATCAATTCCAGCTGCCGCAGAAAAAGTAAAAAATAAACAAACGTTATCTATAATTCTGTCTTATCTATGTTCTTTTTGGCTAGTATCCAATATCTTCTGGTCCCTAAAGACCTCTCTAGCAAAATTCGTTCATTTTCCCTTATTAAAACTCTATCAAAATCTTAATGTTTTCTAGCTGACAAAGGGTACCCCTCTCACATGGCCTCAGTGTTCACACAAAATCATATCAACCATCATCCATCATCAGGTCATCATCGTTATTAAGGGGATGTGGTCCTCCAATACCTCCAATCTCAAACCTTGTTGACCATGTTGACCTTGAAGGGAGCGGTCCCCGTTGATTAAAGACGAACCGGTTGGGACTGCAACGCCTTCTGAATCCCTCCGTGCGCCAGCCATACCCTCCTTCCGTCCCAGCCAGTCCATGCTGCCGCACTCTTGCCGAACGTTAGAGCCCTGGGCAGCAGAGGCCGACCATTAGAGGTCCTGTTTTTTGTTGTGCTCTTTCCTTCTGTAGTAGATGATATAGTCATCCTCTTATAGCAACCTTTTTGGCCAGGGTTGGATGTAAAAGGTCTTAACATGACATTACCATGTTCATAATGGCCTTTATATTCCATGTCATCATTATCTATCTTCTCTGCTGAATATGAAAAACCAAGGGGTATAGGCGCGGTCTCGACATTAGGAAGTCCTCAATATTAATGCCTTCCAAGAGAGGTTGAACAGCCCTATAGCCACTACAGGGTCCTATATGGTCTCTCAACCTCTCTTGGTTTGGGTGTCTCTGAAAATGGGACAATCGGACACTCTCATTGGACGTTTTGCCGGGTAACTGGACGTCCTAAGTCCGTCCAGCCATTGGCCTGATTGAGTGGTGCAGAGAGAGAGAGAGAGAGATCTCAAGAAGACAAACGAAAATTGCAGCAAAGAAAAGAACCGATATATACATATCTAGAACCTGTGTGACCCCTGTTTGGGGACCAAAACATTGTTTTACTTTTCTTGTTCTATGTATGTCAAAACAAAGGTCATGTCTGGGTGCCGTCTAATAAGGTCTTATTTGATCAACTGTTGCTGATAGGGTTCAGATTTCTATAGAAGCTATTCCGCACAGAAGCCTCGCCACTCTTCACTGTTTATTAGTAAGTAAGGTCCAACTCTACAATGAGCCAATGAGCCTTCCAGCTAAGATGAGCCTTCCAGGCAAGAAAAAAACATGTCGGTGGCTTGGGACTCCCTTGAGACCTCCTCCCTGGACCATTGTGCACCCTCCGTCATCCACCGAAAGGACACGCACACACGCTCCACGCGCACTCTCCACGCGCCATGGAAAACACGCGGCCTGACTTTGCCGGCTCTGCTCCTCCCATCGCTGGCGCTCCAGAATGGTCTCCACCTGTAGACAGAGCTGGAGCTGTCGAGTGAGTCTCCATGTGGTGTTTTTTTGTCAACGAAAAGAAGAACTCCATGTTCACGCCCAGGCGGCCCAGGCATGGGAGCCAACCTGATTTCAGGATCGCCGACGGCCCCACCTCCTTCTGCCGCTGCGGTCTCAGCTTCTCTGCTTTGGCTTCACGTCCTCGACCTGGGACATGCACAGCCGGACACGTGGATGGCCAGGAGCACCCAATACCAAGGAAAACGAGGATGCTTCCCGTGGGTTTGGGGGGAGCCATGACCTATACCATACACATCAAAGCCTAGATCTGAACTGATGTGATGTTAAGAATAGCGGTATCCAACTCCTTTTCCTGGTTGCCCGTGAGGTTTCAAGAAAGACCATCCCAACATATCCCGACCGTACCGGTCTGACTGCAACTTGAGCCACTAATTACTGGGATTCAACTGCACCGTCTGTGCTTTCAACTCGACGGCTAGCTGAGGAGCCGCACCACTGAAGAAGGACCTCAGCTGGCAAAAACACCTGGATCTTCAAACAGCACTCATTTTGGCCGGAGGCATTCTTCCATGAAAAGACACCGTAATCAAAAAGAAGTTGCCGGTGTAGGGAACATCTGCTCAAAATCCGGGGAAACACGCCAAACTGGACGCCTAGAGACGCAATGTGGACACGTAAAGACTCTTAGACGCCGTTTGGAAGCCTAAAAACGCCGTTTGGAAGCCTCGCTTCTGTCGGTTGCCGCTGGGCAAAACAAAAAGAATGTCTTTGGAAAAAGACGCCGTAACGGCATTTTTTACCTTGAAAAGGCAATGATTTGTGCCGTTCCGAAGATCCAGAATCCAGGTATAGCCAGTGCCTCGGGTACAACATTGCTCACGAACAAAAGTAGAGGCTAACAGCTAACACCCAGCTGGTCTTTAAGTGGTGCACGGTGAACCTATTTCTTCACGGCTCTAGAGCAGGTGTTCGGTGTTCGGCAAATCCACGAACGCTGTGCCCCAAAGAAAATAACGTTCTGTGCGACAAGTCCTACAAATGATTCCAGAAAAATAGAAAAGGAATGAAAAACTTCTTCAGCACAACAATCCTCCCCCGGGATGTTTGTTCGACCCATCCTCCCGCCTCTGCCTCAACAGAACCCGTCAGAACCTGGGGCGAACAGGTATACGGTATACACCCTCTTCCAGAGGCCCACATGGACCATCACATGGAACCTGAAAACAAGAGTTTTGTGTGGAGGCAGCTAGTCTTCCATAGGTCCATGCCATCAGGTTCCATCAAGTTCCATGTTCATCTTCCCGGGTGTACCTGTCAGTGCTGCGTCCAAGTTCCGCACCAACGCGAGCCGTCGGGGGCCTCGACAGGCGGTGGTCGATCAGGAGGGTTCATGGCTGCCATGGCTGGTTCTATATGCAGTTTATACCAGGACCATCCAATCTGGGTGTCCTAGCTGGGCAACCCAAGATGGTCCAGGTATATAGATCAATGAATATGGCCAAACAACCGAAGTACCGGGAATTCACACACCGACTCCAAAGATTGAACCTATTTTTCGACAGAGCGTGTTGCGGCTGTGGACTGGAGCAACAATCGATATGAGGGGGTAGGAGCAAGGATGCTACTAGGGGCTCCTGGCATCGCTACTAGGAACAAGGGCCTTACTAATAGGAACAAGAAGCTAGTCGAAACAATATATAAATATAGTTTAAGACTGCCATGGGAAATATCTTTCCACCTACAAGCCACAACCTGTTGATTGGGCCAGGTGGTCTTTGCGGATCAGGTAGTTGATGTCAGCAACTTACCTTCAGGTCAACAAGCCAAAAGGAACCGAGTTAAGGAACATGTACTTGTCTCACCGTCTCGATGGACCTCTTGGGCTTCACAAGCTTGGAGAACCCTATTCAGTGCATGAAAGCCCAATCTGACCCAAAAAAACACATGCTAAAAAAGGAATCACCTTAGCTATTTCTGGTTCACCACGACCCACCACCTGGGACATCTTCCAAAAGCCGGTGCAGCACCACCACTCGTTCACTGGCCTTGGGGTCGATCAACTGCCTCACACGGCACGTTCTCATCATCCGACGAGAGGGACAGAGGGATGGTCTGGGACAGAGAGGGACAGAGAGGGACAGAGTACACTCTGACGAACACATCACATTGGCTACGTGAATGGCATGAAATCGGTTTGTAGAGGAAGATGTTGTCGTCTTTCTTCATAGGGACCCATGCCATCCACTGTAACCATGTGATGTGTTCGTCGGAATGTATCGTAAAAAACCATGCTTGTTCGGTCAATACCATGTGATCGTTCTGCAAAGACCGGGGTTCAACCTGCATCGGCTTTTTTGGGCTGCTAGTAACAAGGGCATCGCTACTAGGAACAAGTGCATCGCTACTAGGAGCAAGGACGTTACTAGGGGCTCCTGGCCTTACTACTAGTAGCAAGAAGCTACTAGTAACTCAGGAACCCCAACATCGCCCCTTACGTAGAGGAAGACTATCTCTTCGGCAAACTGTTTGGTGTGGGGAATGTGTACAACAAAATCGGTCCTCCGTTTTGAAGCTTTGTGTTTCATGTCATGCTTCAGTTGTTGTTCTTCAAACCCAGGCGCTGCGCCTCAGAAACTTTGGAAGAGGTTTAGGCTCAGCGTGGGTGGCTTGGCTCAAATACTCCATGGGACTGGTATATTTACCGCAGATTGGTGTGTGTGTGTGCTTTCTTCTTTTCTATGGGGCGATCAATGTAGGCACACATGTGTTCCAGTCCCATGTCTTAGTGGGTGAGGTGTCGGATTCCACCGAGCACCAGAAAACCGGTCGACCAAGCCACCGCTCGCACCCGGTCTCGACGGAAGCCGAGACGTGTGGATGCGGGCACTTGATCAAGACTGTTTGAGCTCTTCTGACTGATGGTCAGCAAGGAATCATCAGAACCCTTTGGCTTTTCAGGGAGAACTTCTGCAGGAAACCCATCGGTTTCCTGGGCGGTGAAGAGTAGTGAAAACCATGGTTTCCTGTAGAAGAAAAAAGTTCCCTTAAACCAATCCAATGAAATAAGGAAGTGAATCCGAAGCGGGGCATTCCGAGTCATTGTCTACTAAGCAGCAGTCAGTCTTGGAAGATGCTAACAACCATCCATTCATATCATATTGTGGGTACGAGGAAAAACACAAGAAACTTCCACAAGTGAACCTGTCATGGGGAGGGGGTCACAGTTTCTTTTGCCTAGCCAGTTCCAACCACTTCTGGGAAGAGAGTGCAGGGCACAAATGCTTGGAACACAAACCCAAACGGGGCGAGGTGGAAGTTTCATCTATCTAGTTGAACTTCAAGTTCGAGCTTCACAAAAATGGGCACAAGCGTTCCAAACATGCTGTTCCGTACCAGGACCATCCAGTCTGGGTGTCCTGGCTGGACTACCCTACACTAGCTAAGGATCTCCAGCCAGGACACCCAGGCAGGATGGTCCAGGTAGGTCGAGTTGACCCGTTCCCGTGTTCAGAGCAACCCGAAACAGGCGAAACGAGGAAGAATGTCCGCCAGGCTTAGTCCAGGATTTTGGCCAGCTATCCCCAAGTAAGTCGAATGCGCAGATGCCGCAACAAAAAGTCCTATCCATGGTGCCCCGAATCGATAGATCGGACGATACCAAGAGTCTTAATTGATAGCGGACGAATCTTAGAGTATAACACCACACCCAGTGGATCCAGGTACCACTGGTTATAGCTGGCAACCAGTGGTTCCAAAGACGACCATAGATCGTCCTAAATATCCTGGTTCCTTATAGTGGCTGCCTGAGATGAGACCCCCTAGGAGCAAGTGCATCGCTACTAGTAACAAGGGCATTACTGCTAGTAACAAGAAGCTACTATGACGGTCTTGCCGCCTCAATGTTCATTCGCCAAGCCTCACCGTACCCCGCCCCCCGCAGCCTCACCGTCTCCCGCTGCGTCCCCGTCGGCAGCTCCTGCGTGATCCGCGAGACGCAGTGATGTTGCCGCCGAGGTTCGGGAAGAGGGAACCAAGGAGGTTGAAAAACACCAGGTACCATTTGGCTGTGGGTCGAAACCAAAAAACATCCAAAAACACCTAGCCCTGGGCCCTGAGCCACCTGGAAGGTCAATAGGGCCGTGGATGTGGTCAGCACGGAATGGGAGGTTGAGCTGAAAGAGGTCTGGTGTCCGAAGCTCCTGAAACGCTCCCCGAGTCCTGGTGGATGAACAAACGAACCAGCACCAGATTCCTCCGTTTGGTTGGGACTGGGGTGGGTGGATGCCACCGGGGGTCGTTCCTGCCCGAACTGAGGATATGGGCCAGGAGCCCTGGGGCCTGGCATTTCCTGATGGAAGTCAAGCTATACCAGGCTTAGATGCCCGGCCTTTTGAGCATGTTTTGACCCACACGAAAAAAACTGTCAGGAATCAGGGACCTGAGGGTCTTGATTCCACCGCTTCGCCAAACACCGCCAAACACCGCTTCTCTCATCGCAACAAACTCCTCCACACGCCGAATAAACCGCTTCACAAACGCCGCACCCACCGCCCGACTGCGACGGTCGTGAATGTGCGCGAAAAGCCTCTGGGAACTCCACCTCGAAGCGGACCAGCAAATCGCCTCAAAATCTCCGGGTGGGTCGCACGAGCAAAAAAGACCTACGAACGGGGCGGGGGCGCTCCTGGCATGACCACTAGGAACAAGGTTCGCTACGAACGTAACAACAAAGGGCATCGCGACTCGAACGGAGCAAGAAGCTTCTCCCGGTGATCTCCAGTCCCTTCTCGCACAGCCCATTCGTTCTCGCAGAGCCCATTCGCCCTCTGGGTAGGGGAAAAATGTGTTGCCTTGATGTGTTTGGTTGGCCTACCTGAAGGTCGATCTGCCGCTCCGGCGTGACATCCTGGAAAGTTGCAAGGTTACCAGGAGCGGATGCTGACTGATCATCCAATCGTCTGACTGGGGGCCAATCCCTCCACCGGGTGTCCGCGCCGCAGCGACGCGGGTCGGCCCTCTTCGGCATCCCATAGCCCGGCACCACCAAGACCTGCGCCCGAGGGCGCGGCGGGAACGGCGGAAGAGGGTCCCAAAGGGTCCCAAGCCTTGGGTTTGGGAGAGTGCAGCCTGGTATGAGGTCAACTTGTACTTGTACTTGTTCTTGTTGTTGTTGTTGTTGTTGTTGCTGTTGTTGTTGTTGTTACTGCTGCTGTTGTTGTTGTTGTTTCAGAACACCAGGATCTCAACGAAGTCTAAGAGTTTACAATCTGCCTTCACATGGGATTCATATGACCCGAACCGGTCAAGGGACATTCGTTTATTTCGCTGCTAGCCATGGGCAACAAAGGGACAGTCATTGCTTTCGGACTAATTAGGGTTTTCACCGTTTTTCATCTGGACCAAATGCCTGGGGCGGCAGCTCCGTCGGTTCCTGTCAGCAGCACCCGATCATCACGGCTGTCGCCAGCTGGGCCTCGCCCGGGCGAAGGACCTTCTTCTCTCCCTCGATGTCGAGCGTTTGACCATCCAAGTGCCTGGCACAGGCGGAAAAGAGGGCATCCAAGGTATCCGTATCACATGTCCCATAGATTCATGGCATTTGATGTGGAGAATGTCCTTAAACTTCTCAAATTTGCTTAAAGAGAGTGAATGCTGCTTTGAAACTTCTTAAGACTGCAATTAGATGATCCTATAGGGTCAGCCGATTCATCTGCATAGATCTTTACTGACAGCTTCCCAATCATAGGTTTACTGACCAGTGACCAGTGACACAGGAGCTGCAGACCTTTCACAGGAAGAGAATAGCAGTTGTCCAGCCAAGCTAATCCCCACCATGCATTGATGCGCAAAATCGAAGAAGTTCATCCCAAAACCCGCGCAGTTCGTGCGGTTGTATCACCCTTATTGTTCTTTCACAACCCAAACAACCCGCTGAAAACGTGAACGGTGTGGGCAGTGTGGGCCTTGGTCGCCTTCAAACTGTCCACAATTGTTCGTGTTCCCCACACCGAAAAGCCCGAAACGAACCGAACTCGGTGGGAAGCCGATCGAAGCCCAGGCGTCGACGCGGGCCTCCACACCCGTCTTTCATGTTGGTTCCCGCTGGGTGCAGTGGGAGAGAATGGACGTCCCTGTGAAACAACGCCCAAGGCCGCCTAGGCCCCAGGCTGCCCTGAAGGGCGTGCTAGGCTCCAATCTGAAGGAACTGAACATGGATGAGGACTTGATCACCATGAGCTATGGAGAGCAACAGTTGCTCAAACTGGTGAGTGGCTCAGCCTGGCTTAGCCGCCCAAAGCTGCCCTGTCAGGTCTCGGTCTCACCGCGCCTGACACGGAACCGGACGCCACACAAGGCATCCAAGAGCCTTGAACGGGATGAAGATCGGGAAAAGAAACGCTCCGTAGACCTGCTCTTTGCATGCTTGTATCATCTTGTATCATCTCAGTGGCTTAGGGGGGGTGGTTGCTGCGGGAATCATCATGAACGTGGAAAACCACCATCTGTTTGGTCTTCGGAAAACAAAACTGGTCATCCAAGATTTTCAGAGGGGCCACTCTCCCTTCCACTTCCACCATGGATGATTCCAGGGCATGTCTTCGGTTTAGGGAAGTGCTTCGTATAAAACCATGACGGAACCGTGGCGTGTTCGGTGTCCCATCCACTTCCACGAGGTGTTCGGTTCGAGTCTCGGTGCTGACGTGTGCGCTGCACCAGGCACTGAGTAAATGTCCTTTTTCTCCGTTGCCGTACAAGATATATATATATATATATATATCCCCCCCCCCCCAAAAAAAAAAAAAGAACTATGTTCACATCACTTTTGCTGGTATTTGCAATATTTTGTGTCTATTTTTGGTTGCCTTTTGGTCCTTAGTTTTTTTGGTGTACCATATATTTTTTTCCTTTTTTGTGCACGTAGGTTGCATGACTTGTTTGTCCACTTTGGAAGGAATGCAGTCAGAATGCGTTCAATGCATTCAGAATGCATTCCTGCCCAATACCAAGACCAAGATCCAAGATTTGCACAGAAGTCTTGTGAAAAATCTTGGAAATACCAAGATCCAAGATCCAAGATTCCCACAAGACTCCTGGCTAAAATCTTGGAAATACCAAGATCCAAGATCCAAGAGTCTTGTGGGAATCTTGGATCTTGGATCTTGGTATTTCCAAGATTTTCCACAAGACTTCTGTGCAAATCTTGGATCTTGGTCTTGGTATTGGGCAGGAATGCATTCTCTGGCATTCTCTGGTAGTGACAAAATTGCACTAAGTACATTTTGATCCTGGAATATTACTGATTACCGACATTTGTTCCTCATTCAATTCTAATTAACAACTAATTCAACTTTAGTGCACATACAATTTAACTAAATTCTAAGTCAATTCTTATTCCAATTTAAAATCACTTGTATTTCTATTTAAATTTCTAAGTTGAGTCTAATTGAAGTCTAATTGAACTTCAAATGGATTCTAATTTGAGTATGTAACATAGTTCTACTTTAAGCCTAAGTTGAGCCTAATTGAATTCTAATTTAAGTCTATTTAGCTTAACTTCATTGTATAGACAAATTCTAATTCAGTTTTTATTCTAATTTACTCATTTCTATTATAATCTAATGGAATTCAAACTTGAATCTAAATTTGAATCTGCAACGTGCTTCTAATTTAAATAGAAAATGATCCTAATTGAACTTTATATAAATGAAACCAAATTGAGATTGCAAATTAGATCTAGTTCAATTCTAATTGAACTTAGATTCCAATTTAGTTCTAAGTCAATACTGTTCTACTAACCAAGCTCTAGGTAAAACAACTCTAATTCAATTCTACCTTAGTTCTAAGCCAATTTCAATTTAAGTAATGGATTATTATTCAATGTGTTTCTTTCAACTCTAATTTAATTCCGGTCTACTTCTAATTTAGTTCTATTTCATTCTATTTTGGGTTCAATTGTAACTTTGACTCTTCCAATTTACTACTAATTAATTTCTAATGTTAATGCCTTTATACGGTTCAGATTTAATTGTTTTACACATCTAATTTTACACTATTGTCATTGCAAGTTAGGTTTGGTTTCTATATGTCTAAATTTCATCCTTTTTTTGATTCTAGTTCAATGCACATGGACTTCAAATTCAGTTTTGGTGTCATTCTAGAGAGTGGGTGTTGCTGGTGGTGAATTTAATTCATTTAAGAAAGCACATTCTTCTATATTGGAAAAACTACATAAAATCTCTCATGTTCAAAGTAACACCACTTCTCTAGAAGTAAGTGATAATTTCACTCAACTTAAAACTAAATTGACAAATAATACACTATTAGAATTGAATCTGACTTGTGTAGCAATGAAGTTAGAATTTGCTTGAAATCAAATTAAAATTAGGCGTGCATTGAATCCCAAGTAAATTAGAATCTATAGTGATAGACCTTTGAATCAAAAATTGAATTTGAATATACAAAGTAGAGTAGAGTTGAATAGATTGGAATTTAAGTTTCATTAGAATTAGACTGGAATTTACTTATTTAGGGTTTGCAATTCTTTGCCTTCTGATTATGATGTACTTGCTCAACTGCATTCAATAAGAGGAGTACAATTCACACCCTAAAAACAAGACATATGGTTTTGCATGGAGTTGCAATGAATTAGATTACTCCATCCAAGAACTGTTTAGTAAACACATAACCTTATGGATTTGGACATTTTTGTAGTACATAGTTAAATAAACAAATATGCTTACCAACTGCACACCAGCACTCAGAAACATAGGTTTTGGGGGGAGGGGCTAGCATATATATATATATCCCAAGGTGGATGACTGGTATACTGCTTAGAAATCAAGCACGGGCCCCGTGGACCCTAGACTCCCGTCAGGTATTGATGCTTCCTGGATTCGGGTGGAAGAAGTATTCCTGGTGAAACCACAATCACCTACACCACCAAAAGGGAAACTAAGGGTATCACCAGGAAAACTGTCAAAACTCAGCAGGTTTCACTTTGTGTCCAGACCTAACACACCCAAACATACCTCTACCTCTATCTTGGGTATATCATATCATATCATATCATATCCACAAAACCATTATGTTCAACCAGTAGCAGGGAGGGCGGAGGGTAATGAGCAGTAAGCCTTTCCACCAAAATAGTTGATTTGATGATCATCGACTGTTGCTGGTAGTGGGACGCACACTACCTCTATCTCTTCAGTTCCCTCTATCGGCAACTACACCCAGCAACCTGGAGACCGACTGAAGGGAACTGCAGGGTAGCCAAGGTGGTTCTCCTCGATGCTCTCTGTCTATACCCTAAGGGTCCAACTACCCCCGTTTCGAAGGTGGTTAGGTTGTGTGCCAGGGGGTCTGTGCCCACCTGAGGATATGGGCCAGGAGCCCTAAGGATATATATATATACTTATATAATACATATATTAATATTAATTGTTCTTTCTACCACCCAAACTCCCGTCACAACGTCGTGACCATGTGAGTTTTCTCTCCTTCGTCTGAGGCCCACTGCGAGACCTTCTGCTGCAACAAGAGGTCCTACGTGCCGGAGGGGTGAAGCCTTCCCAAGACCCGCGGCGGAGGTCATGCAGGAATGAAACTGGACATGAAGATACACGCCCACCTCTTTCCCCAGGTATCTACAGGTTGGTCACCGTTTCTTTGGCCACAAAACCTTGAGAGGTGTTTCCTTCTGAAAGAGGGGATGTTCTCAAAATGATTCTCCAAAGCAGGGGTCACTGAGGTTCTAGGAACCTATTGACCTATTGAGTTGCCGGGTGGGTGTTAGTACTTCCTCACGTGGACCGCGTGGGATTTGTGGAACACCACGACCTGTTTGGTCTTCGGAAAACCACCATGAACCATGATGATTCCAGGGAGAGTATATGTAGACGGTTCATGAATAACCCATCCTTCCAGAATGTGTGTTTTACTAATCAAGAGTCTACATGACTCATTGGGCTCAGACCATACCCGACCTATGTCCACCATACCCGCACAGGTTGTCATACATTGCCAGGGCACAAGCAATCTCTCAGAAACATGGATGTAGAGGTCAGAAGTTCATCTCTCTATAGAGTAATTATCTTACTACTTACCTAGATACATAGAGTAATAGGCCACTAAATAGCCTTTTCCTTCGAAAAAGGAGGTCAAGTGGGCTTCGAAATAGGTTCTCCTCATCATTCAGCCGCGTGAAGTGTGGATGCCTCACGCAATGTTTCTCGGTCCAGGCATGTTCCGCAGTCGTCTGAATGGTGTGGGGGTGGTTGGAACCGGGCGAACGCATTCGAGCGTTCGCCGGTCCGAATGCATTCGGCGGCTTCGACCATTTTCCTCTAGAACCCAGTCATAGTGATGCACTTGTTCCTACTAGCGTCCTTGTTACTACTAGTAAGGCACTTGTTACTAGTAGCGATGCACTTGTTACTAGTAGCGGTGGCGTTGGGGGCCCCATGGATTTCTCTGGCAAAAACGATTCGGCGATCCAAACGGCGATCCAGCCTTTCAAGACCACCGATGACGTCATCGCGTTTTGGGTTGTACAGCGATGACAGGATATCTAGTTTAGTGGTCCCGAGACAAATTGAGAAGAGAAAATAGAAGAACCTCTGATAGGAAATGCACTGAACATTGTCAACCATTCTTCCCTTAACGAATATCCCCATGCTAATCTCTACAGTCATATAGTAAGCCTTTCTCTAAGCAAAAAAAAGATGGCGAAGGCTCAAAGAACGCCAGCTGACACACATCTCACTATGACCACTCTACATGGACTGAAATGCAAAGATTAAAAAGCTTCCATGAAACCTCCACCCACACTGCCTGCTCCACCTCCCAATTCACAAAAAGAACTCGCCACCACTCCACTCCACTCCACCCCCCTCAACACCGAGGGATTCGACCGGCCTCCTTTCCTTGACTTCAATCTGAATGTCGCCCGTCTCCATGCCCGGCGACTGCGGGGGAAACGGATGGGTTCTTGGGCCTTTTGTCCTTTTGTGCCTCTTGCTGTCACCGGTGGTCACGTTGTGTGCCGTTGTGTCACCGGTGGTTGAGGAAACTCCCTGTCTGTAGCTCCTTCACTGTTCCAAATGCTCAATCCCATCATCTCCACAGAACAAGGCCACCTCAACCCACTGAACTTCTCAATCCCCTTGCTGTTCGCAGGAAGGGTTGGGCCCTACTGGGTGATAGTAACTGTGGTGCCTGATACTCTCATGACATGAGTCCGTCAAGGGCAAAGGGCTTGATCCCCCCACTGAGCAACAGCAGAACGCCAGCCATGCGGCGCCGAGCCAGCTTCCGCCCTGCGCCCCACGTGTCTTTTCTTCTGAGGCCAGCCGTTTCGGGCGATGGCTCGACGGCCACAGCCTTGGCCCTCGCGGCAAAGGGCCTTGCGACAGCGAGACAACGGGAGATCGCTTCAGCGGCACTGAGGCTCCATTCCACCAGGTTTGTCTCTCAACTGCACTTTCGCGGGCCAAAGACCTCTAATTTCAAACACCTTTAAAGGATGATGGTTTGTCAGGACCTGCGAGTGTCAATACTTTGATTAAACCATCTGACGTGTTGCCCTTGGATGCTGCACTGTGCAGCCTCACGTCATGTCAGGCATTGAGCTATTGCCCTACTGGAACTGCCAATGTGTTTTACATTAATAATCTGTTTTGCCACCATTGAACCATGCAAATATCCATATATGATAATACAACCAAAGAGCAGAAACCAACAAACAGAAACCACTTGGGTCTAGTTTTGGAACCCACACTCAAAACCGCACCTGAACTCTCCCGGAGCTTCGCCTCCCCGCCTCCCCGCCGCCCGCGTCGCCCG